CTTGTGCATCTCCCCGCACTTCATATCGTCTGGATGCTTCACTCTCCGCTCTAGCCTACTCTGTGGCTGTGCCCTTGTCCATGGGCTCAAGTGTCCCCAGGTCTCACTACACTTTGGAGCAACCAGCAGCCCTTTCTCTTCTCCTTCTCATTTCTAGGTCAACAGGAGTCAATGGACTATGGTTGAACGCAGCCCATTTCTTCATTGCTGCCTTTCCCCCCTCTACCACTCACCAGTAGACCAATGTGGTCACCAGCAAGCTTACATGCCTGTTCGTGTGTTCCCTATGAGTTTTAGTCTTAGAAGAGAGTTTGTCCGGAAGGAACTTGATTACTAGCCTTGATGGCTTCCTGGTGAACAGCTTACTTATTCTTGTAGTAGCCAGTCATGCTGACATTTTTGTTTGTTTGTTTGTTTTTTCCTGAAGATCTTTCTTTGAAGGTGTATCTAGCTGTTCCTGGCTGGTCTGCTTGTCCTTGCTAGTGGGAATGTCCCACCTCAGAAGGTTCTGGATGGGATTTGGGGTTCCACTAAGGGCCCATACTTTGCAAAGGTATTGCAAGAGAACTATTTCACTGGGCAAGTTCTAGAACCCCTTTTAGGTATTCCAATCAGTTCTAGAAGAAGCGCTGGTAGTGTAGTGGTTATGAGTTGGGCTGCCAACCTCAAGGTCAGCAGTTCGAAACTACCAGCGGTTCATGGGAAACAGATGAGGCATTCTACACCTGTAAAGATTTACAGCCTTGGAAACCCTGCACAGGGTCACTATGAGTCGGAACCGACTCCACGGTACTTAACAACAACAATCAGTTATAGGCTGAAGATGGGCTTACAAGTTTTTTGTAACCATGCTTCCCAACATTCATTTCTATCCTACTCAAGTGTCTTTTACAATAGAAAGCAAGGGAAACCAATATTCATAAGACAGTCAAGCATTTTAGTATTATTTTCCCTCTTCAAAATATACCTAGATCCCTGTATCACAGAGCCCTGTTGTTCCAAAATTGAGCATGAATCACTATTTACCTCTGTCCCATTAGGCCATGCAAACCTGTCTGTGTTCCCCTATCTAGCTTATTTTTCTACCTCCTCCCTCTTCTTGTATTGCCCTCCCAAACACCTAAACTAAACCCCCCACCCCAACCCCACTGTTGTAGTTAACTTATATTCCATTAACTCTCCCCTCCATTTATGACAGTCTATTTTATCCTGTAATCTACCTGACCTTCCCACCACTTGGATCTCTGTTCCTCTCTGTTTACTTTTCACATTGTAATTGTTTTGATCATAGACTGACCTCCCAGATTCTTTGTTCTTATAGTTCTTGATGCTTCAATTTTGTTCTTGACTCTTCCATCTGTTGATTAAGTTCAGGGTGATGCTGCTACGTGTGACATTCTTTGGTTGTTGTCTGTTCTTGTTGGTTCAGAGTCCACAGTACTTCCTTTAGGATGTTTTTCATAGCAGGGTTGGCTTTGGCAAAATCCCTTAGCTTCTGTTTATCCTGGAATGTTTTGATTACACCATGGTATTTGATTGACAGCTTTACTGGGTAGCGGATTCTTGGTTGGCAGTTTTTTTCTTTCAGGGTTTTATATATGTCTCCCCATTGCTTTCTTGCCTGCATGGTTTCTGTTCAGAAATCCAAGCTTAATATGATTTGCTTGCCTTTGTATATTACATTTTTCTTTTCCCTAGCTGCTTTCAGGATTCTGTCCTTATCTTTGATTTTGGGGAGCTTGATTATTATATGTCTTGATGATTTTCTTTTAGGGTCTATCCTTCCAGGGGTTCTTTGAGCTTCTTGAATGCTTATATTTTCACTTTTCAGGATGTTAGGGAAATTTTCTTCCAGGATCTCTTTAACTATCTCCTCTGTGGACTTGTGTGATTCTTCCTGTTCCAGAATGCCAATAATTCTTAAGTTATTCCTCTTCATGTTGTCCAGCATGAATCTTAGGCCTTCTTTAGATTTTTTAATCCTTTTTTGTGCTTGCTCTTCTATCTTAGTAGTGTTGAGAGATTTATCTTCTAGCTCACTATTCTGGCTTCTATCTCTTCAATTCTACTCCTTTGCCCATTCAGTGTATTGTCCATTTCTGATATTCTATTATTAATTGTTTGGACCTCATTCTGTAGGTTTTGAATTGTTTCCAGTGCTATATCTATCTTATTTGATTGCTCCTGTAGTGCTTTACTTACTTTTTCCTTATTTTCCTCAACTCCATTCTATAGAGTTTTGATACATCTTGCTATCATTTTTCTGAATTCCTTCTCAGTCATTTCCAAAGCCTGCCATTTTCCAGTATGGAGTGTAGGTCTACTTCCAACTCATTTGCCTCAGTCACTTCATCTCGGTTTTGGACATGTGCAGATATGGTTGTCTGCTTCTGTTTTTTGGGCATATTCAGGAGTTATCTGTGGCCTTAATACTTAGATGGGTGTGTATTTTGATATTTTTTATGCTTTCTGATTGCTTCCAGGTAGATGTGATCAGGAGATGGACTTCCCTTTTCACTCTTCTTGAGAAATTTCCAGATGCCACTGTTGGTCGTTGTGACATAACTCAGGATTTAATTTTCCACCTGTTTCTTTTTCAGTCTGCCTGTCCCACTCCACAATCCCCATTCAGGCCTTTTTCTAGTGATAAACAGTTCAGGGCCGGCTGTGGCCATTTTGCGCTGCCGTTTGGTTTCAAGTGGAAATTGTCACTTTAATTTTCTAGGTGATCTGTGTGCATGCATAGTAGAACCCTCTTTGGGTAGGGGTGGGGTGTCCACTTACTCTGTCACCCCCTCTATTCACCAGAATGGAGGTGCACAGACAGCAAGAGACCAATGAACAGATACAAAAAAAAACAAAAACATTCATACCTGTATTTCCACAGTTCTGTCAGGTCTGTGGCTGCTCTGATCCTTCCCCTGCTTGGTCTCGCCCAAGATGGCAGCTCTGGGAGCAGCTGGGTGTCTTGAATTAGAAAGCAATGGATTTCTTGCTTCTGCTACAAATTCCCCTAGTTGTAAGCCTTCCAAGCTTCTAAATATTCCTTTACATGTGGTTCAGAGTTCTAGCACCAACAATCTGTGTTGTTGCTGATGGAGCTCCTACTGCACTTCCACCCTCTCCGCCATCTTGTTTGTTCTTGCTGAAGACAGATTTTTTAAACTTAGAAATTAATATACGTGTTTCTTGGATGAAGGAGAAGGTATACAATCGAAAGACACTGTAGGCAGAACAGGTGTGGGAGAGAGAATAGTACACCCACAAACAAGGACTGGGCAGAACCTATTTGTACATGGCTATTTACTTCTGCTGCAAAGAAATCCATGAAAGTGGAGGAGCAAATGAGGTAAAATTTTGAAAACGTTTTAGACATAATCAAACACTTCAAGGGTTTCTGGACCTGGGGCATCAGGACCATCGTCTTAGGGGACAGAAAGGTCACCTGACATAACATAGTCCACAAAGACAATGGTCTTCATCTACTTTGGTTAGTAGTAACTGGGGTCTTAAGAGCTCATGAGCAACCATCTAAGGTGCAACTGTTGGTCCTTCCCTGACTTCCCTGAGTGGGAAGGATTTGTCTTGTCCACCATTCTGTTTGTCCCCAGGACCTGTGGCCACCTCTGCTTAGATGTGTGCTTCACAAATACTTGTGGAATGAATAGGACCAGAACTTCAAGGAAGAGTGCAATTTAGTGCATTGTTTCAAAAAAAGGTTGATTTATCTGATACATAATTTGAACAATTTACTTTCTTCTTCTCCTTTTACATATAATTCCTTTTCATTTATGTAACAAATACTGAACATTTCTGATGTACCAAGTACTAGAATGTGTTGGACTATCTGCACTGATCTTTTATTTCAAGTGAGTCAAGATGCAAACTAAGAAGGGCTTCGTTGTTGTGCAGTCAAATCGGTTCCAACTCATAGTGACCTTGTATAGGGTTTCTGAGGAGCAGCTGGTGAGCTTGAACTTCCGACCCTGTGATTCAAACCCACCTTGCAGCCCAGCACATTAACCCACAGTGCCACATCAAGACTCAGATCTCAAAAGGTTAAAAATAAAGTGTGGGTGGGGACCCTTTTCTGAAATGACATGCCTTTTACATACACTTGTCTTTCTATAATTGCCAAATTACATCAATTTTAAGAAGACCTGAGCAATGTTAAAGACCCACTCTCAAAATTCAGTTTCAAAAAATCTTGTTTGGTGTTTCCTTCCGTCGGTTGTTGTTAGTTACCATAGCGTTGGTTCTGACTCCTGGCGACCCCATGTGTGCAACAACTATTCCATAAGGTTTTCTAGAGGATCACCAGAAATGCCTATGGATGAGTTCAACAGCCAGCCTTTTGGTTAGTAGTCGAGTACAGTTTGCCCCACTCAGGGATTCCTTTCAGTCATAGAAAGCTTGTAAACTCTTAAATGTACAATATGTACAATATTGTACAATATTGCCGGTATATGTACAATATTCCTGGGTCTTTCCAAGACTGCTAACATAAAGAGTTGGCAGTAGAGGGTACAAGAGAAGGTTGATGTTGTTAAGTGCATCGAGTTGATTCCCACTCATAGAGATCCTATATAGGGTTTCCAAGGCTTTAAATCTTCGCGGGAGCAGAAAACTTCATGTTACTCTCATAAGGCAGCTGGCATGTTCGAACCGGGGATATTGTGGTTCCCAGTCCAGTGCTATCTTATGGAGCCATGGAGCTCCCCACATAAGAAAGTTAACAGGACGAAAATAATGAAAACCGAAGAAAAAGCAGTGAAAGCACCGGTATTTCCAGTCCCTTCTTCAAGCTGATCCAGCTCCTAGTTCACCCCAGTTCTCCAAGGTTCAGCAGGGACCGATCGCGAATCTCTAGTGTCCCAACTCCAGAAAGCACCTGGGGAAAGCTCATCCAAGACTCACTCCAGGGACGCCGCCTCGGCCCGCCTCTCACGTGGAGGCCCCGCCGGCCCCGCCCATTCCCATAGTCCGGTTCCCGCCCCCTTATGACTGGCAGCTCCAGTGCGCTATCACTACCTTGGAACGAGCCTCCTCAGGGCCACTTCGTCCCCTCCTTAAGCGTCCGCCTGCGGGGATTGGTCGAATGCCGCCCTCCTACCACGCTCATACGTTGTGTAATGTGCTCTGAAGCTTTCGCCCCCGCCCCACTCATTCACCTTTACATAACCCGGGCGGCCAACGGGCCCCACCCCCAGGCCAATGGGAGTTGGCGCGCTGGCATAACAGCCAATCGGGTAGCTCTGGGGCGGGACGACGGAATGTTGGCGGCGGGGGAGGCGGGCGCCCACACGCGTGAAACCTCGAGACTAGAGCACGCTGGGTGGCGTGGAGGAGTGGAGGGTGAGCCAATTCGGGTAGGCAGTATGTGTAGCAACCCTGGTATTGTGTGTGCCCCGAGGCCCCTTTACCGACTCAGTGCTGGGCGCGCTCCCACTTTTCAGAGCTGAGGAAAGTTGGGTGAACCTGGAGTCTGCCGCGGAGCGACGCGGACTCAGGACCCCTTCCTTGGGGGCTAGCAAGTCATAGTGGCGTTCAGTCTCGGGCCCGGGTCGTACTTTTCCCTGGACCTCAGTCACCTGTGCCTCTCCCCACCCACCTCCGCAGCTGGTGCAAACCTCCCGGACAGTCTTATGGAAACTCTGGGAGCAGAGAAGCTGCAGGTGCCCGGGTTGTGATGGCAGGGACCCAGAGGCGGAATCAGCTCCCGGCCCCGGCCCCACAGAAAACCCTGTGGCCGAGCGCGATGGAGCTTGTCGGGGACCTGGTGCAGAAGAGCCCGGGAAGAAGAGCCCGATGAGCCTTCGGGACCCCAGTCCCTCGGGAAGGAGCCTCGGGCCGCCGCCGAGGTCATGGTCTGTGGGGAAGAGGGATGCCTGAACTTTTCTTCTCCGGGGTTTGAAGTCTGGAAGAACGTTGAGAGGGAGACCTGCGACCATGGAGAAAAAGTACACCAGAAGAGTACTGAAAAGTGCTTAATGAATGTTACGGAGCTGAGGTTGAAGTGAGCAAGAGATGGTGAAAGTTGTTTAGCAATTGGCCATCTTCTTTGCCTCAGTTTCCCTGTCTGTAAAAAGTTCTATTTATTTTCCCAGTTGCTATCCAACTCATGGACTCCTGGTGCGGCGCTGTAGTCTCAACACTGGACTGCGAACCACGAGGTCAGCTGCACTTTAGAAACCCTAGACAGGGTCTCTGTGAGTTGGAATTGACTGCAGTTAATTACAACAACAGTCTCTTATAGGTCTGAGTTAATTACAACAACAGTCGACTTATAGGTCCGAGTAGAACTGTGCGCCATCGGATTTTCAGTGGCCGATTTTTCCCAAGCGAATTGCCAGGTCTTTCTACTGAGGTGCCACTTTTAGGTGGATTGTGAACCCCAGCCTTTTGGTTAGCAGCTGAGTCCATTAACTGTTGGTCCCACCCAGAGACCCATAAAGCTCTCAACACAGTGTTGTTGTTAAGTAAGTGCCTTTGAGTAGGTTCTGAGCGTGGGTTTGACCTTGAAGTTAGCAGTGCCATGCTTATCTTACAGCGCCACACCAGGGCTCAGTGAGTAGGTGCCTGGCAGGTAGGTTGTAGGTGTGTCTTCACTGTTGACTGTGGTTGTTAGGGAAGATGTGAGTTTTTTCTTTTCTTTCTTAACAGTGGAGAGCAGAAGCGACTCAGAGTTTCTGAAGAATTGATGACAGTCATCCAGGAAATGATAAAGCACTTCCCTTCTGAGAGGTACAGCAAACCCAGCACCCTGGAGGACCTCAACTATGCCCTTCGCTGTGTGCACAGTGTGCAAGGTAAACAAGCTGCCTAAGGGGCTGGACTCATGGAAATCCCATGAGTTTTTTCTCACATTTTATACTAGGCTAGGATTGCTACAGTGATTTCTATGGTGTCACAGTCTTTCAGATTAAGAAGGCCAGGGGAACCTTCTCTGCTGAATAATTTAGTACATGTGCGGTGTCTGGCTGGTTTGTCGCAAGGGCCCAGTGATGAGCGTTAGCATATTTTGAAAGTGGACTTTTTAAAGGAATATTGTCTTCTGTACGTTATAGAGGAAAAAAAAGTTTGACTAAATACCAGAGGGCTTCAAAAAGTTTATAGTGGAAAATGGAATGAATAGATCATGGAATTTTTCCATGAATTTTTAAAAGCTCTCTTGTACAAGCTACATTTCCCAGTCTTCCATACATCCTTATTAAATACAGCCATAATATGTTAAGAATGTACCAAATTAAAAATGAGCATTTAAATTTTTTTCTCTCTGACTTCTTCTTGGGGAAGTTCATAAAGTCCATATGTGACTTCCTGTGTGCTTTATAGTAGAGTAGGGTTTCTGTCATGAAAAATGATAGATGTGTGCACAAGTGTGTCGGGAACCCTGGTGGTAGAGTGGGCTGCTAACCTCAAGGTCAGTAATTCAAACCCACATCTGCTCCTGTGGAGAAAGATATGACTGTCTGCTACTGTAAAGATTTACAGCTTCAGAAACTGTAGGAAGCAGTCTTACTCTGCCCTATTTTTGTTGTTGTTAAGTGCTGTCGAGTCAGTTCTGACCTATAACAACCCGGTGTAGGTTTTCTAGGAGTGACGGGTGAGCTTGAACCTTGGACTTTGCAGTTCAAACCGATTTTGCAGTGCAGCGCATTAACCCGCAGTGCCACACCAGGACTCTGCCGTATACTTAACTCAGTATAGGGTTATTATGAGTCAGAATCGACCTGATGATGGTGGGTGAGGGCACAAGTGGAATTTGGAATTTCAGTGCCTTGTTTTAGTATAGTATCTTGTTATTTGCAATCTAGAAAACATTAAACTCATAAGGAACTATTTTTTTGAGAAAATTCAAAATCTTAAGTTTTCTTTTGGTGGGAGAAGAAAGTGATCTGGTTCTCCAGAAAATACACTGAGGTGTCCTTGTCCTAAAAATAAGTCATCTTATGAGTGATAAGCATGATGTCCTAAAGATTCTCTTGCCACTGGACTACCAGTTTATTTTCCTGTGTTTTTTAGCAAACAGTGAGTTTTTCCAGATGCTCAGTCAGAATGGAGCGCCTGAAGCAGATGTGACCATGTACAAGTCTTGGGAAGCTGATGACTACTCTCACCTCAGAGCACACTTCTAAAAACACAGCAAGAATTCACAAATTTTGCCAAACCAACCTAGGCAACTTTCCTAAAAACTTCTCTAGATGCACATTTAAAAAGAAAATTACCTCAAGTTTCAATAACAACAGTTTGAGGCAAACAAAAGGAAACATTGTTACTTTCTCCTGTGTCTTTTCTCCTGCCCTTGATGGAGAACATGTCCATATATGGGAAGCCGCAAATCAAGTAGTTGATATGCTTTATGAGATGCTATTAACCCCTTACCACCCTAGAGTTCTCGCAGATTAAGAAGGAAACACACAAACAGACTGCAGAGTAATTTCCTGCATTTTATCCTGATCTCAGATTGTTCATTTCTATTTATATCATTCTTAGTTCCTACTACTAAGATACCTACTACTTTAAGTTGTAACAACTGGATTTTATAGAACAGGTGAGTTGAGATGCTGTCATTTTTTATGGAATTTTGGAAGAGATATTGGGTATTTCTTTACTGACTTTTCATGTTGACAGAATAATTAAGCTTTACGTTTTATGTTAATTGTGATGGAGATTATTTAATTTTATGTTTGGACCCTAACATAATTATAATTTGAAGGTGTTATTGTTTGGGACCATAAGCTAGCTCTAGGATTACAATAGTGCCTATTCACTACAGGTGTGTGTATAATACTATAGGAGATGCTATGGAGATTTAAGAAGTATAAGCTATCATTTGCCCTTTAAGAATTTTGAATTAAAACTAGAGAGAACAGTACACCAACAGGCACGCGCAGTGACTGATTCTAAGTGTATTATGTTTATGTTCAGTGGAACTTAGAGAAGAGGTTCATATGAAATGAGGTTTGTCAAGTACAGCTTTCTGAAGGAGGAGAATCTTAAACTTGGTCTTGAAGCCAAAAATAAGCTGTTGATGAATAGAAGCCAGTCCTACCAGGTGTGAAGGTACTTCCTGCCAAGAAGGAATCAAAAGTTCATGTAACATGTGTGCTTCAGCCCTATAGAATGAGCTATATATATGTAAATATACAAACATACATATGTATATATGTATACGTACATATAAATAAACATTTAAAACATGTATGTTTCATCCCTATGGAATTAGCTTTATATATGTATATTTGCATGGAAATCAAACATTCAGAAAATAAAACTCAGGTTTTCTGGAATCCTAAAATGCATATTTAGGAAGCAGTTTGGAAAATTTATTTTGAGAGGTTTGTTGTCATTATAGGATGTGTGTATTTTAAGATACTAGTTATGGTAGAATTCTGGAAGAAATTACCTGCTAGTAAGAATTTAAATATTTACATTTATTTTCAATGTTTTTCATAGGACACCTTTGTGGCAGTTTTTTTATTTCTGTCTGGAAGGTTAGTGCACATTTCTGAACAGGTTACTTCCATCCTGAATTGTAGAAAAGATTTCTTGGAGTCCTCTCGTTTTGTTGAACTGCTTCCCCTCAAGATGTGAGAGTGTTCTATGCACACACTGCCCACACCCAGCTCCCATTCTGGAACAACTGGACCCAAAGAGGTAATGGGACCAATATTCTGATGTTCCTGGCTTCACAGAGATAAGTTTCATTCTTCTGGAAATAATACAGAACTAATGTACTATTGTTGTTGTTGTTAAGTGCCGTTGAGTCGATGCTGACTCATGAGCTACCCTGTACAGGGTTTCCGAGGAGCAGCTTGGTGGGTTTGAACCGCCAACCTTATTCCATAGCACCACACCAGGAGTCCAATGTACTCTTTATAACACATAAAATACATGGTTTTCCTTAATTCTTTTAAAAAAACAAAAACCCAAAGTATACTGAAAAGCTTTATAATAGCTTATAATAGCATAAAGATCCAATAAATGTATTTTGACTTTACCAACCAGCCAATTCACTGCCATTTGGTCGATTCCAACTCATATAAAGACTTATGAAGGGTTTTCAAGGCTCTATACCTTCAAGGCTCTATACCTTTACAGGAGTCCTGGTGTGGCACTGTGGGTTAATGCGCCAGACTGCAAAGCTGTTTGAACTGCAAGGTCGGCAGTTCAAGCTCACCAAATGCTCCTTGGAAACTCTATACAGGATCAGAACCAACTCAAGGCCACTGAAAAACAACAACAACAACAACATACCTTTAGAAAGCCTCATCTTTCTCCCAAAGAGCAGCTGGTGGTTTAAACTGGTGACCAGTGTGCTTAACAGTCCAGTATGCTTATCTCACAGTGCCGTAGGTTAATCAAAACCAAACCCACTACTGTCAAATTGATTCCAATTCAGAGCGACCCTGGAGGACAGGGAAGAACTGCTCTATCGGGTTTTCTAGAATGTAATTGTTTAGGAAGCAGTTTGCTGCATCTTTCTTCCATGGAGTGGCTAGTGGATTCAAACCAGCAACCTTTCAGTTAGCAGCCAAGCACTTAACCACTGTGCCACTGTGCCATGCTGTAGTCATCCACACATTACATAGTAGTATAATCAATGTCAAGACTTGGTTTCCTTTTTTAAAAAAAGGTTCCTATTGAGTTGATTTCTACTCGTGGCAGCTGCATGTATATCAAGAGTGTAATTGTGATCCATGGGGTTTTCAGTGGCTGATTTTTTTTTTTAAGGCAATCTCCAGGCATTTCTTATGCAGCACCTCTGGGTGGATTCAAACCTTCAACATTTTGGTTAGCAGCTGAGTGTGTTAACCATTTGTACCACCCAGAAACTCCTACTTTTACAAAGTAATTAATTTAAATTGATAATATTGATGTTTTATTAATTTGATAAAATGAAATATTTTCCCTTCTACATTGATTTCACTACTCCTTTGTATAATAGATGTTACTTTGGAGATAAAATTTTAATGGGTAGCTCCTTTTCCTAGTTTCTTTTGCCTATAAGAGTTCATCAATTGTATTACTTAATTTTTTCCTAAAACTTAGGCTTATTTCTACACTGGTAATGCTTATTCACAGTTTTTTGAGTAACAGTTCATCCAGTCTTTATGATCTTTAAGTAATTCATTATTTTTGCTGTAAATATTGATTACTTACTTAGTTTTCTGTGTGACTTGTCTCTTAAAAAGTTTAGTGTATCTCATCCTTCTCTTTGATTCTGAACCAGTTTCTCTTAATTTTTTAATTTTGTACTCAATTCTGTCTGCATCTTTCTATTTCCTATTGTAGACCTTTGCTTGACCTTTTGCACATTTTTTTATAAAAGCTGTAGAAAGCATGCCTTTGTTGTCCCTGCTGCCTTCTAGCTTCCTCATTTCTCCTTTCACCATCATTCACAAATATTGTTTGCATTTCTCTTCGTTTTTTGGGGGGAACATATTGTCTTGTTCTTTAACCATCCATGTTTGTTCCTCTACTTTCTTTAGTCACTTATTCACTCCGTAAGTGTTCATTCAGTAATCGCTATGGCCAAGAACCATTTTAGGTGCTGAGAGAGAGCTCTGAACAGGTCAGACACCAGATAAAACTATTAGCCATCTCTTTCACAGTCACCCCAGGTATTTGTCCTTCAGCATTGCCTGTGTAGTGCCTGTCTTGTTTTCCCAACCTTTTTTATATTTACTCATGACTGATGCTTATTGCTGTTAAGTGTCATTGAGTGCGTTTCCGAGGAGTGGTTGGTGAGTTTGAACTGCTGGCCTTGCGGTTCACACTGACTCTGGTCCAGTGCATTATCCCTCAGTGCCACCATCAGGATTCCCATGACTGACATACTAAGTTTTTACACGGGAAAGAAAATACCAGAGTAGTAGGAAGGTATCAGAGCAGTAATCATGACTGATTACTACTCTGATATTTTCTTTCCCTTCTAAAAACTTAGTATTTCCTGAAATTATTACTTGCTGTACTTTAAAATTTACTTATTTCTTGAGGCTATAGAAGAAGTCAGCTCCTTCAGTTTACCCTCATATTGTAATTTTGCCTATAAATCTCAAGGATTCAGACTCCAATTGAGGACAGTTGGTTAGTTTCACACCATTTCTAAACTGCACCCTTGTGACCCCCTTTTATCCATTCTCTTCAGTTTTGTTTCTCTTTCATTTTGTTGTACTCTGGTAGTTTGTGTGTTGCTATGATGCTGGAAGCTATGCCACTGATATTTCAGTTACAGTAGGGTTACCCATAGTGGGCAGGTTTCAGGGAAACTTTGAGACTTAACTAGGAGAAAGGGTCTGGTGATCTACTTCTGAACATCAGCAAGTAAAAACCCTGTATGAAGCCAGTGCAGAACACTGGCAAAGTCTAGACTGAGCTAGGAGTTCTGGTATGGCGCTGTAGGATCAGCATTGGATTGCTAACCACAAGGTTGGGAGTTCAAACCTACCAGCTGTTCCTTGGAAACCTAATTAACTGCTTCGAGTCCTCTTTGCTTTCAGCAAGCAAGGTTGTGTCATCTGCATATTGAATCTTCTTTCAGTCCTGGTACCTTGTTCTTCATGATGATTTTAAACCATGCAGTATCTCCTTGTTGTGTTCAAAGGAGTGCCTCTTGGTTTTGGTATGGTTTCTGTATAGCACAATAAAGTGTTCTGGAATTCCCATTTTTGACAATGTTACCTATCATTCATTATGATCCACACATTTTAATACCTTTGCATAGTCAATGAAACACAGGTGTCCATCTTTTTGGTATTCTCTGTTTTCAGCCAAGATTCATCTGCTATCAGCAGTATCCACATCCCCTTCTGAACCATACTTGAACAGTAGCATGCCTCACAGTAAATAATTCCTTAAGCTCACTTTATAAAGTTGTTCTTCCATTTATTTTTTTATGGACATACACTTGGGACTATCTTCTGGTTCCAGAATTCTTGGACTGTAACTGATTACTTTTATGAACTGTGATACTTTGATTACTGGTTGCTTTACTTTTAAACTGGAGTATCTTTTAGACTCCTGGACATTTTTCTCAACCTTTCAAATAGGCCTTTGTCGTGTTCTTCTAATGATCCTTTCTCTAGCTGTACACAGACCTGGGCCATATCCAGTATCCTTGTTCTTTAGACTTCATGTTGTATCTATTGCATTTGGTCTATGTTTATTAAACACCCCATAGTTTTCCTTAGTTCCCATAAGTGAGACCCTTGCTCTCTAGCGAACAAATACCCAAAAGATACCTGCAGAGAACTCTAACCAGAGGACATACAGGTAGTCAGCAAGTACTTGGATAAAGGTTCTGCCCCTATCTCTAAAGGTAAAGTTAGACACGTCTGAATGGCCATTTCATATCAAAAGAAAAACCAACCGACCCACAGATCTGGAGTCCATTCTCACTCATAGAGGCTTTTTAGGGAAAACTGCCCCATGGGATTTCCAAGATTGTGATTGACGTTGTAATCAATATTGTAAGCTTATGGAGGAGTCCTGGTGTGGTGCTGTAGGATAAGCACTGGACTGCTAACCACAAGGATGGTGGTTCAAACCCACCAACCACTCCTAAGAAACCCTGTATAGGGTTGCTATGAGTCAGAACCAGCTCAATGGCACTTAACAACAACAGCAGTATGTATGTATGGAAGCAGACCAACACATCTTTCTCCCACAGAGCAGCTGGTGGGTTTGAACCACTGAATTGACCTTTTGGTTAGCGGTTGAGTTCTTAGTCATTGTGCCACCAAGGTGCCTTATTGCAAAAATCAATTAAAATGGGTGCAAAGCAATGACATCAGGATTGTGAGAAAGCATTAAAATATTAATGACATTGTAGAGGTACAGTCTTCTGGAAATTGTTGTTGTTAAGTGCCATTGGGTCTGTTCCAACTCATAGCGACCCTATCTAGGGGTCTTGCAATAAGCAGTCCAGTGCTTATCCTACAGAGTCACACCAGGATTCCCTTCTGGAAATTAGTTTGCCAATACAATGAAAAGATCATCTTTTAACCTAGGAACATAATTTTGGGAGTTTATCCAAGGAAAAAAATCTAAAGGGGAAGAAAAAGAAAAGGAAATATGAAAATAATCTAAGATCCCAGTTGTTGAGGAAAATGAGTATTTTACCACCAAAGTGACAGTTGTGTCAAAGGGTGATTATATTGGTGAAATAATGAATGTGGGACATCATAGAAACCTAGGGGAGCCTTGGTGGTACAGTGATTCAGTAATCAACTGCTAACCAAAAGATTATTGCTGGATTCCCGGGAGAACAGACCTGGTAATCTGATCCCTCAAGATTGTGGTTTAGAAGCCCCTCTGGGACAGTTCTACTCTGTACCTTAGGGTCTCTATGAGTTCAGCGCACTCATATCAAATAGCAACAGTGGCGTGGAAAGCTGTAAGTCAGAAGCTTCACTGTGTTACCTGAGGGATTCTTTGTAATAGGAAAACCCTTGGGAATGTTAGAATGTAAAGCTTTTAAAGTGAGGGAGGAGAGTTCTGTTCTAATCAAGAGTACTTTTCTCTGAAAGAAGCTGGTTTATTCTTTGCTAACAGTGCAGCATTGTTCTCTGAGGAGAGCTGTTCTTCCTTCTTTCTCTGGGAGAGGGTGATTGACAGTCTGTCTCTGTGCCTAGCAGCCTCACACAGTATGAATTTGCTCCAATGAAATCCTTTTTCTGCAGAATCCGGTAAGTATTGGGGTTTATGGCTGCCCAAAATGGATTATTCAAATTTTACTTAGCAGTTATTTCTACTTTCTGTTGATTTTCAACTGAGTTCAGTTATGGATACAGAAGATAAGGCAGGTCATAGCCTTGTGATTGAAGAAAAGACACAGATACAGTACTCAAGAGAAAATTAGATGATAAAGCTGTAGGTGGAAGACGATTCTTAACTTAGGGGCATATGAAACTCGCTGGGTGTTAAGTACACTTGAAAATGACTGTTGTTTTGGGCACTTTTGTTTTTGTGTGCTTTTTGTTTTCAGTCACACTTAAAATAGTTTTGAAATACCATGTTGATGAGAAGGATTTGTTATGCCCAGAATTCAGGGTCCCCAAAGACCACCCAGGAGCCGTGTACCGATGCAAATACATAAGGGTTGTTTAATCAAGCTCGAGCCAGGTCTCTAACCTTATCTGACATTTCGGAATAGGGAAAGAGCCCCGAATTCATTGTCTGCAGGGTTTTTATAGAATTTTCAAACAGCTCAGGTTTCTCAGCTTTACAATCTTTGGATTGGTTAACAATTGGCAAACTATGAGATGTTACAGTTTAATTGGTCAGGACTGGTGGTCTTTGTTCTTAGGCTAGGGTAAAGGAAAACATCTGGCCTCTGGCCTTGAGCTGCCTGGCTATTTATACATATATCATTTTCTTGAAGCTAGAGTATGTGTTCAGGCTAATGTAGAGAATGGAGATTGATCTTGCCTCTGGAGGGAACTAATAACTGAGGCCTTGTCTATTTAAAATGCTTTCCTGAGCCTGACTAGAGTTTAGTCAAGCAGTTTCTAGGTAGGCAAAATCAGGTAAAATCAGTTTGGTCCTTACAGATTTAAATGGTTCAGAAACAGTGGCCTACAAGAAAATGGACCGGTATTCTAACAGTCACTTCTTTAAAGGATTGCTAGTAATTTGTATTCTTTTCTGAATTGACTGTAATATGCTAGTCTTGCCTTCAAAAGAAAAAGAAAGTATTTTCAAATGACAATCTGCCAACATTTGTGTTGAAGTTATTACCTGCTTTAGATATTTGGAGACGATTTTTATCCTGGGTGATTCAGAGTTTCTATGGAATTTGTCCAAAAACTCTTTTGGCATCTCAAGCTGTAAAGCTGAGTGAAGAGCTTGTAGTGAGCATTCAGAGCACACCTTCCGGGGATACTCTTAGAGTTAGAAGGCACTCCCTCTGTGCAGAGCTTGGCTTAGTGGACTGTGGGGTAGCCCTGCATTTCTCCTGGTGGGCTCAAGTGCATCCCTCCTGCCCTCCTCAGCTGGCTCCTTTATGGAGAGCTGAACCATGTGCAGGGTCTGTGCCAGTCAAAGGCTAAAGCTGAAGCTGAGACTCATAACCTTGAAAGAACGCATATGGAGGGACAGTTAAGAAGTGGCTGTTAGAGCGAGATCGGGACTGTGAGGAGAAAGGATCCAGTTTTCCATCTTGTGGTGTAGGTGATGGGACGGATGGTTCTATCTGTCCTACTTCTGCCAACAGAAGAGTTGCTGTGATGCCTCAGGGTCTGGAGGTCAGGAGAAAATCACCAGTGGCCAGTTCCATCTTCACACTCACAGTCATCTAACAAGGACCTCTGTCTACTGCACTGAATGGTCAGGAGGCATTTACCCTTAGGGGCTGGGGAACATTTAAAGCAACATTTCCCTTCTTCTGAAAGCAAATGTGTATAAAAATTTTAGATTTAGATATGTCTCTTGTGGAAATTCCCACTAAGACATATCTCTAGCCTTGTTTCACATTTAGCCCATTGAGTGCCTTGTGACCAGTCGTACCATTGTTAATTTCTTTAGTGGCGGGGAAGGCAGAGAGCTAGGGAACTACTGCCCATTCCGGATTACCCCCTATTTGATTCACATGTATAACCCCACCCAGCCGGGAGCAGACCCCTGTTGTCTCATGCTGGTTGAAAAGATTCACTCTGGGTATGAAGGTGAGTTGGGGAGTCTGCTTTCTGATGACATAGAAATGCAAGCACAGCAGGCAGGGACCTGTTCACTCACAAAACCAGCAGACTTCTTGGTGGTGTTATTAAGTCTGGTGGATTCTGACTCAGAGGGACCTTGAGGTTGTAAATCATTGCAGGAACAGAGAAACCTTCATCCTTCTGTAGTGGAGTGACTGGTAAGCTTGAATCACTGACCCTGTGGTTTGCAGTTCAGTGCTTTCTCCTACAGAGCCATGTGCTCCTTCTTAACATTTTAGGCATTCTTTTTTTCATTTTATCTTAAATTTTAAAGTGCTTTAGTTTTCCATTTGATAGTTTCTACATAAAATGTCCCATGCCATTGGCTATATTCTCTACAGTGTGTCACCCCTCTCTCCATTTCTACCTTGGGTTCCCTGTTACCTTTCTTTCAGATTTTCTATCCCTTCCTGCCTTCTCAAGGAACCCTAGTGGTACTGTGGGATAAACACTGGGCTGCTAACCACAAGGTTGGCAGTTAAAGCCATTCAGCTGCTTATCAGAAGAAAGCTGAGACTGTCTGCTACCGTAAATATTCAGTCTCTGAAACCCCAAGGAGCAATCCTGTAGAGAGTTTCTATGAGCCAGAATTGGCTTGATGGCAGTGGGTTTGTGGGAGTCCTGGTATGGCGCTGTAGGATAAACACTTGACCACAAGGTCAGTTTGAATCACAGTGTTGGCGTTTCAACTCACCAGCTGCTCCTTGGAAACCCTACACATGGTCGTTCTGAGTCAGAACCAAATTAATGGCGTTCAACAAAAACAACATCTTTACTTTGGGGAAAATGTCCTTTTGATCTTTTACAATTGTTTTAAAAGAACACATTCCTCTTGGGTGTTACTTTTTTTTTTCAACTTTTTTTATTATGAATTAAGTAAAGGTTTACAGAACAGATCATCAATTTTACCTTAAACAAATCATATACTTTGCTTCATTACAATGATTGCAATCCCCTCCATGTATCTTCAGTTAGCAGTATTTCCCACTATTCACTTTTTTTTTAATACAAAAATGTTTATTGCAGTATAATTCCTGATAGTCAAAATGTGGAAACAACCTAAATGCCCACCAATGAATGAATGGATAAACAAAATGTGGTATATACAGACAATGGATTACAACTCATCCATAAACAGAAATAAAGTATTGATACATGTTACACCATGGATGGGCTTGAAGATATTATGCTGAGGGAAATAATTCAATCACAAAAAGACAAATTTGTATAATTTCACTTACACAAAAAGACATGCAAATCGATAGAGGCCAAAGTGTATTAGTGACTTTCCAGTTTGGGGGTGGAGATGGGGGAAAGAGGGTTTATTTCTTATTGAACACTGAAGTTCATTTTATAGTGACAGAAAAGTTGTATTGATTAAGGGTAGGTTTAGTAGCTCTGGTAGGGTAATGGGCTGCGAGTTGGGCTGTTAACCACATGGTCAGTAGATTAAATCTACCAGCTGCTTGGCAGGAGAAAGATTTACAGCCTTGGAAATCCTACGCAGGGTCACTATGAATTGGAATCGATTCTATGGCACATCACCACCACCACCACCACCACCAAGGGTGGGGTTGCACAGTTGACTAATAGAATTGCTGTCAGTAAGTTATACACCAGCAACAGTTGAATTTGCAAAAGTTGTGTGATAGATATATTTACAACAACAACAGAGAGGAGCTGCTGAGTTTGTTTATGTACAGCCATATACCTCATTGGTTTTAGTTTCTTGTTTTGGAGACTTAGGACCAGTTTCATGAGACATACCAGTAAGTTGATGTAATCAGGTATTACTCTTTATTTTATTGGCCTGTTTTCTGTGTTTATGGACAACCACCAAATAGGACTAAATTGGTTAGTCTTAAACATTTTTTAAAACTCTTTATTGTGGTTTGCGTAAAAGTGTTTAGAGCAAATTAGTTTTCCATTCAACAGTTCATGTACATTTTGTTTCATGACATTGATTGCAATCCCTGCTATGTAACAGCATTTTTCTTATTTCTTCCGTGTTTTCCATTTCCAGTGGCCTTCCTTTCCTGTCCTTTCCTGCCTTCTGAGCTTTGTCCTTTGGGCAACAACTGTCCTTTTGATCTGAAGTAGTTGATTATTTTAAGAAATACATTCCCCCCTCTTTTTGTTGTTCACCTTACAGATCTGTCTGTGGCTTGGCTAAAAGTTGGTTCCTTGGAGTGAGTTCAGTTCTCTGCTTGAAGTGCGTCTAATGGCCAAAGTCTCTGAACTTTACTTCAGCTTTGTGATGAGAAGACTAGCTATTCAATGAGCACAGGCTTACTCAGCTTAAAAATAACTAGAGCAGGCATCACATTTTGATCTAATTAAAATATAGTTACTAATGAAAATCATTTTCAGTTACTGTTTTGGCTGCTGTAAGACTAGATCCCTAAGTGAAAATTCTGCTGTTTTAGAGATTTTGTTCCCTTTTTGTATATTGCATGGAAAAGAGTTATGTCATGTTAAGTAGAAGATGAATTAGATGTTTACCTTTAAATGGGTCTGTGTTTTTCTTAGCTCCTCGAATTCCAGTGGATAAAAGAATTTTTACCACAACACATACTCCAGGGTGTGTTTTCCTTGAAGTAGATGAAAGGTAAGTAAGTCTTAAAGCGAATGAAATTTGTTTCTGGAAATAAATAAAGTTCATGTCATGTTTACATACCTCTGCAGTAGAGGAAACCTAGTAGCACATTGGTTAAAACAACTGCTAACTTAAAGGTCAATAGTTTGAATTGCGGGAGAAAGATGTGACAATCTGCTTCTAAAAAGATTATAGCCTTGGACACCCCGTGGACTAGTTCTCCTCTGTCCAGTTTGGGCTTTTCTGAATCAGAATTGACCTGATGGTATTGGGTTTGTTTGTTTTTTAATGTTTTTATTGTGGATTGAGTGAAAGTTTACAGGGCATATCATCAGTTTTACATTCAACAAATCATATACCTTGTTTCATTACATTGATTATAATCCC